CGTCTGCATAGTCCGAGCCATTGTGTCTTGCATAGACACATAAATGGTCGGAATCCAAGAAAAAGGGTGGTCCCAACACCCCAAGACGGCACTCCCAGTCCTAGACTCAGCCGTCCCTGGTGACCGGCTGGACTCTAACCTAGGTTGTGCCGTGTGTGTTGGTGATGCATCCATTTATTGCAAGAAATATGTACAAGCGGTGAAACATGAAAAAGAGCTGAGAGAGGCAGAGACGGTACCTTTAGATTTGATATCTTAAGATAGACGGGTCCGGCTGGGTTGACGAGAACGAGTTTTCTTACTTGCGCTTGACTCAGACAGATGACTTCTGCTCTCTCAAAGTTGTTACTCTTGAAAATTTTTTGTAAACGTACTAAAATTATGAGGGTAAACGGCTATATATAGAGGGTAAATACGGGGGCATCCCCGTAATTTACTCAGAAGTTGAACGGTTACTTTTTGGCGATAAAATTACCACCAACCGGAGCGTGACACGTGTCACAGATGCCACGCGGCGTGCCACGTCACATCTGTGAGGGGCAAATGTTTAGGGTAATTTTACCCCGCCACGTGGTCCAATCAGAGGATGACACGTGTCAGCCCCAGGATGGCCCAAAGTGGACCTATTCCTGCTTGACACGTGTCACTCCAAAAACTTGGGGGATATGGCGGCCTTGAGGCCCAAATCCCAAGAAAGCCGCAATGCGGCGCAGCCCACCAATGATTAAGGTTCAGTGACCTAATCAGGGGCACAAATCCCGAGGACCCTATAAATAGGGAGATTCCCCTCTTTTGGAGCGCAAGTTTTACCATTTATTACAAACTGTCCCTGTGATAGAGACATCTGAGCTTGGAATCCGAGCAGATACCCACCTAAATTTCCGCACCTTTTTCTCTCCCTGCAAGTTACTAACTTGTTCGTCGGAGGCGAAGCACCACCCAACCGGTGTCTCCGTTTGTTTTGCAGGTACAGGCGCACCGGACCAGTCTTTGTGTTGTAACTCTCCCCAGGGACAAAAATACCCAAAACATACGTTACACACAATCTGCAACAAATTAAAAGTTTTTTTTTTAGTAAACCTTTTTTTGCAAAATTACCACCATCCCCTTACTTAATTTATATTAACTTCAATCAACCACATATTAACTTATTTACCCAAATTAATGTATCCCTAATTAAACCCAGAACCACATTCTCTCTCCTACCTCACAACCACATCCACCACCACAACCAACATCATTAACTTTTCCCTCTTCTCCCTCTAAACCACTAGCAGTAGTAGCTGCAACACTTTTCCCTCTCTTCTCCCTCGTCTCTCACAACTACCACACCACCACGATTTCATATCTAAGTGGTGGTGAGGTAGGGTTTCTATTCGTTGGTGGTAGTGAGTTGGGATTTTGGTTCGTCGGTGGTGGCTGGTAACTGGTGACATGGGTTTTCGGTTCGTTGGTGGTGGCCGGTGACATGGGGTTTCGATTCGTTGGTGGTGGCCGGTGACATGGGGTTTCGATTCGTTGGTGGTGGCTGGTGATATGGAGTTTCTATTCGTTGGTGGTGGTTGGTGACATGGAGTTTCTATTCGTTGGTGGTGGCTGATGACGTGGGATTTCGGTTGGTGGTGAAGAGGTGGGGTTTTGATCTTAGGGACAGTGATGTGGGGTTTCAGATCTTAGTGGTGGTGAGATTGGGAGAAAGTGGTTACGGGGTAGGGTGTTACCGGTGTTACGAGGTGGTTGGGTGGGTTAATTTTTGGGTGGTTGTGGTGGAGTTTGAGATCTAAGTGGTGGTGAGAGGAGGGTTACAAGGTGGATGCTGGTGGTGTTCAGTTTCTCTCTCATCCAATTAATCATACGCCCCTTATTTTACTAATATTTGCTTAAGAAATTTTATCTTAGGAATTGTGCAACCAAGTTTGTTGCAGAATGCAAATAATACGAAACAAAGTTTGTATGAATAATTAAAGTGTGAGTGTTTTAAAAATTAGATGTTAAAGGGTAAATCCAAGTTACTCAATATGAGTAACAAAATGTGTTACTCAAGGGGTATTCTTGTTTTTTCATATCTACCGTTCAACTTTCTCTCTCCTCACTCCTCTTCTACCTCAACCATCATAGCCACCACAACCACCACCATCATCACGGCCACCACTATCATTACTTTGTAGTCGTTGAATTCGACCTATCTACGAATTTGCCACAGAACTCGACCCATAATTAATGGAAGGAGCTTCAATGGAGGACATGGTCACCCATTCCCTTTGGGTTGACCATGCCCTTAATTTCACGCTTCATTCCTAGGGTTTTCGTTTTTAATTTTTAGATGTAGGTGGAGATCAGGGGAGCTGGGTAGAGATCGGGGAAGGTAGAGATGGGGAACCTTGAGTGGGTGGAGACATGGGGAAAGAAGAACAGATGTGGGTGGATATCGGGGATAGATGTATGGATGGATGTGGATGGAGATGGGGGAAAGAAGATTTGATGCGGGTGGAGTATAAGATCGGGGAAGGTGGAACAAAGGTGGAGACGAGGGAAATTAAAGGAGATCGGAGGTTGACGGGGAAAGAAAATCGCTGGTTGACGGAAGAATAAGAAGAAGAAGAAGATTTGAGGTCCACAGGGAAGAAGAAGATCGGATATGGTTGTGGTGATGGTGGCGACGGTGGTGGTTGACTGGTTGTGGAGGCCATAATGATGGGAAGGAAGAATAAGCAAATATTTATAATTGTGTCATTAGAGTAACAAATGTTGTTACTCAAAATGAGTAACTGGGGTTAGCTCGATGTTAAATGATTGTTGTGAAAATAAATATCATTTCCTAAAAATATACCAGGTAGAACAAAATCTCATAGCTACTTTAGTTTTCAACTACATCAACCGCTAAAATTATCCCTGCAATTTACTTATTAAACACTCAATTTTTTATTTATTTTATTTTATTTTATTTTTATTTATTTATTTATTTATTTTAAGATTTAATGTTTTGATCATGATGAACCTTTAAAAGTTACTTAAAAGCTATTCAAAAGTTAGTATCAAAACTGTTTGTCTAACCTCACTTCTTAAAGGTTATATATACGGAGGGTTGAGTAAGATTTAGAAGTGTCTCACAGAGGTAGGTTAGTCATTTCATGCGGGATTTAAATTTTGCCACTTTAGATTCAATGGTACAAAATACACACTCAGCGGTACAAAATATAATTTCAGCGGTATTTAAAAAAAGGTTCAAATGTCTCATTAGGAAATCAAATAATACCATTAGAGCTCAGTGGTACAAAATATACTCCCAATGGTACTCAATGTCTCAATGTAGTTTTAATAGTACTTATAAAAATCATCAGTGGTACAAAATATACTCTCATTAGTTATGGTCCCAATTTTTTTTTGTCCTTTTTGCACATGAAACCAATTCTGACGAAAAAATAGGCCATACCTCACCGTTTTTTCACTCTCTCTATCTCTCTCTTCCTAATACATTTGGTGCCCTATTTTATTGAGTAGTGATAGACCACTACTAGGTATGGGCTCGTTGGGCCCATACCAGGGGCAAAAATGTAATTTCACGGAAAACTTACCCATGTTCTAAAAATGCAGTCTCTCTCCTATCAATAACAACATATAAATTATGAATAACAGTATAAAAACCAAGAATAACAGTATATAAACCAAAAATAACAGTATAGAAATTAATAATAACTGAGCACCGACAAAAAACTACCGGCGTCAATTTCGACCGAACTCAGCGAATTCCAGCATAGAACTCACCGTTTTTAATGGCTAGAGCCACAAGTTTGTGTCTCTTATTTTTGGGTTATGTTTTTTTGGGTGGTTTCCGGTGATTTTTAATGCAGGTAGTTGCGTGTTTTTGGATTTCGACCAAGGTAGTAGATGGTGGGGTGGGCTTCTTGTTGTCGGAGGTGAAGGTGTGGTGGGCGGAGGTTTGGCCGACAATGGGAGCTATCCATGGAGGTGGGGAAAAGGGTTTAAGGAAGGAAGAAGATGAAGAGGAAAGGGAAAAAAAAGGAAAAAGAAAAAAAAAATTGTGGTATTGGATAGTATTACCCATACCATGGTAGTGGGTAATACTTACTCCTATTTTATTTTGTCTCACAACCCTACAAATATACTTCCTCCACTTGTTAAGCATAAAAGAACACATGTCTCATTTCTAATGGTCTATAAAATCTAATGTTAATGGGCAACAATTTGCCTGTTGAGAGGCAAAATTATATAGCCGGCGTATTTTTAATTAGTGAGTTGGTAAAGCGGGAATATATGATTAGGGAATTAGTTAGCCATGTGAGAGTCAGACCTTAAAATTGTCGGCTATTTCTTAATTAATGCACGCACTATTCTTCCTCCTTTTTATATTTTGGGATATTGAATACGTGTATAAGCCCACCCGTGATGATGATTTGAAATGGTGTAATAATAGGGTTCAAGTCCTAAGTGCCATTTGTTAAATGAACAAACATAAAAGACTTTTAAGAGTTCACTCATTCTAATCATACTCTTAATCATTGTGACTCATGTCAAACAATATGACAAAGTTTTACACTGGCTATCATTGGTGTGACTCTCATCTTTTATCCACATTAGAGACTGGTAGCGGAAAATCCACTAACAAAGTTTCGAAATTTGAAGTTAAAAAATATGAAAAAGGAAGAAGAAGAGAAGAGGAAAGTTGTATGATATATATAAAGCTTAGTCCTAAAATTATTTATCTTCTAAAATAAACCTTTATTTTTTTTGTTGGATACCTAATTTTCTAGGGTAATTTATGACAAATAATCTAAATTCAATAAGAATAATAATGTGAAGGATGAATCTGTATAAAAAATGTGAAGGATGAAAATGTTTAAAAATAAACGGAAGGACAAAGTTTAATTTGTTGTCTGAAGTTTTTTTTTTTTTTTTTCAAACTTGATTGGTTTTACTGGCTATTAGAAGAGTACTTGAATCGCCTACAGCTTCAAGGATACAAAGAGACAGAATGAACATGCACATCAAATAACCCATGTAATTATTCAATACCTAGGAACTAAAATTATTTTCTATAGCTCAAGTGAAGTAATAAATCTATTACTAACAACTCGTGGTCGATGGACAGCTTGAGCTTGAGTTAGATACTTAGACTCTACACTCTAGTAACGCAACACCAGCGCCATAGCCATGAGTGTGCATCAAAGGATTGAGTTCAGGGGCATCTGGTCATGCTCGCCATGGGTAGCCAATTAATTGACCATTAGCCTATTTTCCATTGGGATGATGACTGTGCAGGAATGCTACCTCTTAATCTCTATTATAATACAGAAATGTTCTGTAGCACAGTAAGTAATTATACACATTCTGAAGTGTCGTTAATTGTCCAATTTTGATGGCAATATTTACTAACAAATTGGACTGTATTCCAACATGCTCTCGCAGCTCAGCCAACAATAATCAAAACCGTAGATTGGTAAAAAAATATTGTACCATGGTGCCATCTCGTATAACTTCCTTCATTTAATAGGAGGGTTTTCGTTGATGAGTACAAAGGAAGAGGGGGTGATTGGGGATATATGGAGGTGTCATTTGCACAATTCACAAATCTTGATGACTAACTAGCACTCCCTCAAATCCAATATGGGAATGCTATACGCCTATACATTTTTACATACAGGACATACGTTTATCTACTACCAGCGTTACTACCCAAATCAGCTGCTGCTTTAGCTGCTCGGCTGAGAGCATCAGAAACCCAAAGAGCTCCTTTAGAGAAATAGCTGCTGTTAACAACAGCAGTGGCAGCTGAAGCCGCTGTTCTTCCAGTGTACAAGGCAGCGGATTTTGTTGTCTCAGAAACATTGTACCTCTGATCCACAGACTTGACAACTTCCATACCTGCATAAAGTTTTGGTGTAAGCCCAATTTTATTGCTCAGCTCAGCTACTTTTGCAGCTGCAGTGGCTGTAACATGATGAGACTCATCAAAAGCTTTCGCCCTACTCAATGCATCCTTTCCTAAATCGTATCCCTTAGCAATCATGGTCGTGACAACTTCTTGGGCTACTGTCACAGCTTCTCCTGGGGTAGAAACAAATGCGTTGCTCTGAGATACCTGACCAGATTGAGTGAGAATGTTATACACATGCAAATATATAACATCAATGCATAGAAAAATTATGGAAATCATAATTATAATCATAATTTAATCAATGAAATAGAATTTGTGACCTCGATGTGGAAAATTGATACATCCCATTCCGTGTATTTATTAATCCCAATTCTAACATATGCATAGATTAAAAATAATACCAAAAACTGAGTGATTAGGGGAGACTAAAATTAACTTTAACTCAAATAAAGGGAGGATTATTTCAGAACATCTCAAAAAAGGAACAAGGGAGGTTAAATACAGAACAAAGAAGAATTTATAGACCCAAAAGAAACAAAAAGACATAATTAATACCAAGATATCATTGGGATATATGCAAACCGTGATTTCTCTAAATTAATCGACCAAACACACAAAAGGACATCATAATATACAGCCAAATCAAATGCAGACTAAATGTTGCGGTACTCTTCAAGAGGCAACAACCAAACAAAAAGAGGTATAATATAATACCAAAATACCTACAATCGACAGCACATACCGAGTCAGTGGAAGTATCTGCTCTTCTCCATGAAGCATCACTAAAAGGATCATATTCATCTACATAAGATCCCCAACGAGTGATGCACACACGTTGATCAACAATTGTGGCTCCCTAGAGAAAGAAAGGCATAGAGAATAAGCTAGGAGGCAGAATGACAAAACAAAGTTAATTAACAGCTAAAAAAAAAAAGAAAAACATTTATGGTACAAAATAAACTCATCGAGATCATACAAGGAGACAGCATTAAGGGGGTGTTTGGTATGCTATTTTTATAGGGCTAGAAACGGAATCGTGTTACCGTTTCCGTTAGAACATGTTTGGTTAATGAGTATAGTAACATAAACCATTTCTTTCCTCTAATTCATTCCACCACTTTGTTTCCGGTGTAAAACATGGGGAAACAAATCCCGTTTCTCTCCTCTAACTCAAAAAGACAACTCTACCTCTTCTCTATCCTCTCTCCTCTCAGGCTCTCATACGAAAGATCTCCAAAAAAGAATCCCAATTTGGATCGATCGAAGCAACAGATTTCGCTCAAGTTGTTAAAGTTTCCTATTTGAGTTTTTGATCTATTTGTTGATTGCTATTTTCCATCTATGTTGTTAATTTCTAGGGTTTTCTGTCCTGATTTTTCTGTTTTATTTGAGTTTTACTTTTTCTCAATTGTATCTCCTGCTTTTTGCTTCATGACATTATTGCTAATATGATGCTTGAATCTTGATGCTTCCAACGTTTATCCAATTTCCAGGTATTCTCTTTTAATAATGAACAAAATTCTGTAATCAGTCTTGTAACATTATAGTATATAGTTTAATGATATTGTTTTATATGATTGTAACTGAAATGCAAATCGCTTACAGTATACACTAATCTCTACATGTTTGATCAATCCTAGATTTAGAATTCATTTTTGGGTGCTCATAACCTGTTTGATAAAAAGCCTAGTTGAAATTTTAACTACATGATAGTTTGTCTATGTTATAATACAAAATTTGTTCTTGCATTTATACAAAATTATAAATGGTAGCATTTTATTGCTTATTGTAAATGATCAGAACCAGAAATGCTTGATTCTATCCACTTTATTGACTTCGGCAAATCTTTTTGACTCCCTAATACTCTATAATTAATGAAGGGATAGCATAAGATAAAGGGAAGATACAGAACCTAGTAAGAAGAAACAATATCCTATCTTTAAGTTGATCAAGAAGATTTGGCTAAAATGATCAAGAAGATCAGTAAGTAGAAAACTGTTGTTGCTCATATACTAGGCTCATTGTTGCTCTTTTTTGTTTCCAAGTTAGCTATGCCAAACAAGAGGAAACGGATTGGTGGTAATCGTTTACGTTTCCTTAAGAATACCAAACAATTACTCAGGGTTAGGGGTGTACATAAACAGGACCGGACCTGAAAACCGACCTGACGCGGACCTGTTTGGACCGGACCTGACCCCGGACCTGTAGATTCAGGTCCGGTCCCGGTCCTTGAAAATCAAGGTTCCCGGTCCCGGTCCGGATCAGGTCCAAACCCGGGGTTTTCAGGACCTGAAACCCGGTAAAAATGCCTTTTTTATTAAAAAAAAAAAAAAATCCAAATTTCAAAACAAGTCTGTTCATTTTTGTAACCCACTTACCCACTAACCCTAACTCACTCCTCACTCACGCACTCTCTCTCTCAGCCGACACCGACACCACACCAACACTCACTCCCTCACGCAGCAGATCTGCACAGACACCAGACGCCACCGCCCAGACACCAGTCGCCACCGCCCACCAGACCAGCAGCACGGAAACCTCTACACGCTGCATCAGCCAGACTACCATCTTCGTCCACCTGCACGAACTCCTTCACGTTGGGATTTGTAAGTTCTTTTTTTTTTTTAATTAAATCGAATTATATTTGAATTGGATATTTTTTAATTTGAAATGTTGAATTAAATGTGAGGCATTCATATGTTTATTCATGTTTCAATTGCTAATAATGATTGTTTGATGTTTGCATGTTGAAATTCTGTTTTTTAGTTCATTTTTTTCGAATTCATGTTTTTTTTTTTGAGTTTTTTATTTATTTAAAGTAATTGTTTTTGAATTTTTTTAGTTCAATTGTTTCGAATTCATGTTGAATTTTGGTTTCTTTCGATTTGTGAGTTTAAAATCTGTTTATATTGTGAATTTGCTGGGAGTAGATTGATAAATCAGGGATAGGCTACTCTACTTGTTGTATAACTTATGGAACAGTTTAAAATCTGTTTATATTTTCAGAATATATGCAATGTAGTATTCTGTGAATTTTTGTAAATTTGTGGGACAGTGTACTAATCAAATGGTGTATTGCACGGTTTGTACCACATGCTAGTGTATTGTATATTTTGTATGTATTCTGTTAATTTTGTGAATTCAATTTGAATTGTAATTGAATTCTATCATTTTATATGTTTAGGATCAACAAGAACCACGGATTATACTCATTAGTGTGAATCACGCAATCAAAGGGAAAGCAACTCGCCAAATTTCAAGTTGTCTTTGGATAATTAATGTATTTATAGTATTTGAGACTTAGAGACTTCATGTAATTTAATGAATTATTTGTTATATTTGAGACTTAGAGATTTTATGTAGTTTTTGTTATTGATATTTTTAGGTTTTATGTAAACAGGTCCATAAACAGGTCCAACAAGTTATTTATTTTCTTTTAAAAATAAAAAAAACACACAAAATAGGTCTGTTCAGGTCTGGACCTGACCCCGGACCTGATTGCTCAGGTCTGGACCTGACCCGGACCTGCTGAATCAGGTCCGGTCCCCGGTCCTCAAAATTGGCTGATTCAGGTCCCGGTCCTAACAGGGCCGATCCGGTTTTGGACCGGTGTACAGCCCTACTCAGGGTAACACAATATATTACCCTTCCCCCCCCCCCCCTAATTTGTTTCCAATCCGTTACCTTTACTAATTTGATACCAAACGCCCCCTAAGCATATAAATAAATATATTAACATACTTCCTTTGTTTCTTAAAGTCAACAGTCTTGCTTTAAAACTTATTTGGTAAAAAAAAAATTCCTTTCTAATCTACAAACCCCACTTAATTTTCCACTCTTACAGCCACATTCTCTTAATAAAAAAAAAATAATAATAATAATAAAATAAAAAAAAAGACCCACTTTGACACTCTAAACCAAACGGGGAGAATATTATGAAACAAAGGCAGTACATAATAGCAATTCCAATCAATTTAATGTCCTCCCAAAACTACAAGACTAGGAAAATAGTGTAATATGTATGACTTGCAGAATTTTGATCAGTTAAAATGCTACTGGAATATGGCAGCCAAGTAATTAAGTTGCTTACATAGGTGCTTTACACATATGAAAAAGGTTCCATAAATTTATTTCAATAGAATTTGTCCCTCAACACTGTCACATATCTTTATCACAAAGCCAAGCCAAGGGATGTATTATGAAGTCTATCACATAACTGAAACATAAAGTCTCCAAAGACTGCCCGTTAAGGAGTTAGCTTTAAGATTTAATGATTGAGGGTAACTACGCAGCCTCATGTCGAGGTAGAAAAAAAAGGGGGGAGGGATTGAAGAGGCAGCACTATCTCTTCAAGTAATTCAGATATTCTTCACTCTCAGTGCTCAATCTTATAGCCTTGACGAAGTATGAATGGATAGGTGAATCCATGCACACCATGTAACTTCATTATAATTCTTTTTTTCTTAGCAATCTAAGAATCTTATAGGCAAGAATAGCTTATACAAGTAGATATTAAAGAATTTCTATCCAATTTATTAGAAATTTTTAAAAGGTTATAGTATAAGGAATGAAAATAGAACAAATATCTTGAGAAACTGAACTAGTGGGATAGCTCAAAATCATGCTACATGTGAAATTCAATTTCCTCCAGACCCCAATGCCTATCAAAAAAGGCATCATTTATTACTGTATAAAAGTCCAAAACTCATCTTGTTCACCTCAATATACTAAAAAAAATAAAAAGCGAAACAAGCATGAAAGCTTATGATGAATTTCCATAGAAGTTAGAACCAGATACCCACATTATTACAAGCTATATATTGTTAAGCACTCCTGCAATGCAAATATTAAGCTCGTAGTTCTATACTACATGAATAACATAAGCAACCAAAAAACCATGCAATATGTATATTAATCAAAGCAGTCCATTAAAGAAAAACTCAGTTTTGATAAGCTATACGTACACTGAGTAAGGCAGCAGTTTCCAGAGCATAAGAATCTTTGAATGTCACATAAGCAGTACTTCCATATTCACCAGACCTGGATCATTGTAATAGTTGGCATATCAAGACAAGTACAAAGGGCAATGATGATCTACAATCATCAGAATTGCTAGCTATAGAGCTAAGCAATGAGTGATAAATATCCTTCAGAAAAGGAAAATGGATACATGCAAGAAAAAGTAACCCACAGAATCAATATGCAGCAAGGAAAACACAAAAAGTAGGGCACTTTATTTTTCTGATGGTTACATTGCATGTATTTGGTATCTTCCCAAATTTTGTCAAGAGTGCAATTTCTCACTTCGATACTATAAAAGCTCAAAGAAATATTTGAAGGTAATAAATTTGAAGAAAAGGAATAATCTCCCATTGTGGTTTGCATGTTGCATTTAGGGTCAGATAAGAAGTCAAACATGACAGCTTTGCAGCTTAGTTTCTGGAGTTCCATACAAGAAGCATAAGGATAGGTCTTTCTCAACTCACATAAATGCTTAATTGCTATCTTCTTTCCAGTTAATTGTGGTTATTTTGGAATACTATGTACAGCTTTATGTGCTTCCCAATCCATCGCACCCATCTTCAAGACTATTTAGTCTCTTCATGCATATTCTCAAAACACAGACAAAATTCACATCTACGATAATATTAATTAGCCCTATTGAGTAATCATATGATTCATGTCGTATATTTCACTGCGTTTGTACATGCTGCCTTTCGTATTTTAAGTATATTAACCTTGACTGTCTATTATATAGGTGTCTTATAAATGCATGGTTACCATCAGATTAATTCTTTCTTCTTTTTTTTCACAGAACATTTTTTGTCCAGCCATGCATTCCTTCAACTTTCTTTTGCTGCTCTGACACAACAAAGAGGTGTACAGGAGGATATGTTTTCAACTTTTCAAAGTGCGTCATTCCGCTGTAAATAAAGCAGGGAGGACCAAATACATTTTATCCAATCAGGTATCTCTCATCAATCCTTGTCTATGACACTCGACAAAGCATTCCTGGTAGATGTTGTGGATTAAAGTATGAGAGAAACTAATTTGTCAAACTGACAGGGTCAGAGGGGAAAATTTTTGAAGAATAAACAAGAAAAAAATGTTCCTCTTCTTCCTGCAGTATAGGAACAATGGAGCAGGAACAGCAGAAGTATTGCGTAACTTGTGTGTAGTCACCCTACATTAGTTGCTGATTTTAGGAGAGCCATCCAGTCTGTTTTAAGACCTAGACCAGGTATCTATGTGGGGATCAGAACCTGGCTCAAACTGATTATTTGGGCCCAGAGAGCTGAAGGAAGAAAGATATAAACTTTTTTTTATCAGCCCAAGTCTCGTACAGGATTTTAATTGAGATGTAATTGCCAAAGACGTATTGAGCCTCTTCACCAAGGGCTTCATTAGTTTATTTACCATATTTTATTAGTATTATTCGTTTTTTTTTTTTTTTACATTTGCAGGCTAAAGCTAATAGTTCAAAAGACAACCAAAACACGAAACAAAAAATTGCAGATCTAATATAAGTGACAGTTTCTGTAAGATTTCTTCCCCCCCCCCCCCAAACGAAAGAGCACTAAGAAGTATAACCTCAATATATATGATACCAAATAGGCAAACAATATCGTGGATGATTCAGCAAATTAGCCTACTGTAATATATAACCAGACTAGAAGAGCAGGGGACATGAAAGATACCTGATGATTTCAAGATGTTCAATAACACCACAATGTGAGAAGAAGTCACGAACATCTTTTTCTGTTGCTCTGGGAGACAGGGTAGTTACCTCAATAGTATACCCACCAGGATACATTGGTTGTTCTCAGTAAAGTAATATCAGATGCCTTAGTCTTAGTAGAGCTTCCTGCAAAATCAATTTAGTAGAAATTTGCACCTTCTATTAAGACTATAAGTGATTAAAAATTTAGCAGGGTATCAATATATTATAATATGGCAAAGTCGCTCTTTTAAAAACTGAGGTACTAAGAGACATGTTATGAAATTGGCAGTCAATAACTTGCATTGACAAAAAAAAAAACAAAGGGGTGACAGATAGCTCCACTAACAAGGACAAAGTTAAAATGAATATAGTAAAACTACTCAATAAGCCCCTCTATTTGACAATTTGTACTGATTAGCTAACATGCCACAATTTTAATGAAAATTAGCATTAAATGTACAGATACCAAATTTTACCAAACAATTGGAAATTTAAAAAATGCTTCCTGAATTAGAAAGATTAGTTTCCTAGCTGATGCACGAAAACTTGAAAAGACAAAAGTAAAGAGTATTTCAGAAAACCTCAATTTTACTTTAAAAGCTCTTAAGCAAATTTTCAACAAACCCCCCAATTACTCAATTAGACCTCTATTTCAAAGCTTACATTGATTAACTGAAATGCCATCATTTTAGTGAGAATCAGCATAAATGCACTGCAACCAATTTTTACCAAACTATTGGAAATTTTAAGATTAGCTTCCTGGATTCAGAAAATTAGTTTCCCAGATGATAGCATTTTCAATGCACGAAAACTTGAAAAGGCAAAATGAAAGAGTATTTTATAAGATCTCATTGTTACATTTAAAGCTCTTAAGCATATTTTCCCAACCCCCCAAAAGACTCATCAATCTCAATCACTCTCATCCAAATTTTCTTAGGTCTTCTAATACCCATCGCAATCTCATCTGAATCCTCTTAACTGGTGCATCACTATATTTTCATCTTACATGGAAAAACCAATTTAAGTGACTCCCTCATCTAATTGTCAATAAATGTAACCCTTCACCCCCCCTAATTATGTCATTTATTAACATAATTTCTTCTATGGCCACACATCCAACGCAACATATCCATCTCCAACCCATTCATCTTATGAACGTGAAATTTCTTCACAACCCAACATTCCATGCCATATAGATATGTAATCCTAATTGCTATAGACTTCTCCTTTCAACCTATGGGGCATGCCACATTGAAATCCCATAAAACTCTTCTACTTCAACCAACCAACCTGTTTTGAAATATAATAATACATCCAAGATAATATCACAAAATGGCACTCACAAACGGAGTTGATAATACATCCTGGATATAAATAGTTAAATAAATAAATAATTTTACAAAAATCAAAACTTTGATTCCATCAATCAGTCCATCCAAGGTGATTGTCTACGCCTCCTACCTTCTAACCCCAATACACTCCATGTATTATTTCGTCTTACTTCTACACATCCTAAAGCCTTGAGATTCCAAAGTTTGTTTTCACAATTCCAATCTACAACTGAGTATACTTAATATAATGTTAAAATATCCATTCTTGCTCAAAGAACTAAAGCAACCTTGGTAAAGAGCGGACCCATTCATTTTTAACTGCAATCCAAAGCTCCTATCTTCAAAGCAAAAATCTAGATTTAATATCCAGATTTAAGCAACCTTAAATTAACCCTTCTCTTCTTATTCTTCTTTTTTAATTGTCTTAGTCCCATAGATTGGGTCGGCTACATGAACCAACATGAGGACTTCCGAGGAGGTCACTCATCCTACTACTACTCTTAATCATTGTGACTCATGTCAAGCAATGTGACAAAGTTTTACGTCTAACCTTCCTTTATATCCAGGCTTGGGACTGGCAGTGGGTTGCGGTCCTTGCGGATTCATAAAACCCTAAACCCTATACAAAGATTCTTAGTTCCTTAAACCTCCTCAACATTGTGTTTAGTTTAGCAAATAAAACATCTTCTTCAATCATAACCGCACAATACTACAAAAGGCTTAAAACACATATAGTACATGTCTACATAGTAGATTGATGAGTGAATGTATTAACAAAACTAATCAGCAAAATGCAATTCAAGCCAGTATGATAACACCCCCCAAGGCCCCCACACCTGGCCAGCTCTAAAAAGCCACATAATATCTATTAACAAATAAACATACCCATACCCAAATCATAGCTCCTCTCCTTCCGTTCGTCCATAATTCTCTTATTCTGTACACCTTCTTTCGTCTTTTTTTTTCTTTTCAGATTTATCATTTCATCAAATGTTGTTGTTCATGTGACGCCTTGTGTTACTCATACTGACTAGGGTACTCGTGTTGGACATGAGTACTTGTCCAAATGTCTAATTCAGCTATTTGTAAAAGATATTTCATGATTTTAATGTCTGATTCAGCTATTTTTTCATGATTTTGACCCAAAATTAAGGGTCCGAGTATCTATACCCATGTCAAGTGTCGAAGGTTCCACACGGGAACTATGGTGAAATGAACATTAAAAAATAGCATCAAATCAAAAGGCATCCTAACATATTTTGACCCAATCTATCATTCAAACACACAAGCACATCCAAAAATTCATACAACACTCCCTCAAAAAACAAATGAGGGTTTGACTTTCAGGGGTATGATCAATAAGCAACTATAATCACCAATTAAAATTGAAAAACATAGATCAATATTCAAATCAACAAATAACAAAACCAAGAAAAATGGGGTAATCACAAATAAAGCAAAAAACAAAATGAAGACTAAAATTAGTAAGAATAGCAGAAGAACTATGAACACAATTAGACAACAATCAAGAAAGGAAGATTGCAGAAAGTAAAAGATGCTAAAATTCAAAAAGGAAGAAAGAGAAAGAGATAGAGAAGATTCAGAGTACCTGACAGTAGATGCGAAGTTGCACAGAGAACTGAGCAGTAGGAAGAAGAGAAGTCTCTTGAAAAAGTTGCGAAATTTGTGAAAACCGTCAAATCCGTATACGGTCCACTTTGGGTAAGAAAATGCTTGTTTTAAAAAGAGAAAAGGACTTTACGGGAAAATTACGAAATCAATGATACAATAGTGCGGACTTCCAAAATGATTCCAATATTCTTATACTTCCTCCGTTTTTTATTATTGCACATACGGGTTAGGTACAAATATTTTGATAGTGGAAAAAAGTAAGAGAGAGAAAGGTAAAAATACAAAATTGTCCATGTGGCATATTAATAAACTAAAAAGTAAATGTGAAAAAGGAAGGGTATGTTGAGTATTTGTAGTGTGAACACAAATAATTTTTTTCCTAAAGAAGAAATGGTGCAATATTTGTGAAACTTCCTAAAATGACAAGTGGTGCAATAATAAAAGAACGGAGGAAATATACACATGGATGCAAGATGTAGAATCACTAGTTAAAAAAATAAAAATAACAAAAAAAAAATTGTAAATAATAATCTTAACTTTGCTCCATTTTTATTTAATAATCTCAAATTTAAATTATTCTAAAATAATTTCTTCAATTCCTTTTACCGGTTATAGGTTGAAAAGGTTATTATTTTTTTCTTCATAAATGCCACATGTTGAGATCTAATTAGCCAAAAAAAAATTATAAAAATAAAAATAAAAATAAAAAATTCAGAAATCCCAGCCCCACCCCTTTCCTTGACCACCCAGCCCCCACCACCCACCGGAACCCTAGCAGCCCCAATCCCCTCCCGCGGCGGAAAACAACACCCCTCCTCCCCCCGCCTTGCCACCACTCCTCTTGTCCCCTCGCCCCTCCCCCTCATTCCCCTTGAATCACCACGCCCATCCCCGTAAACCCCCCTCTCTCTCCTTGATACAAGCACTTAAAATCTCCCCCACCACTCCAAAAGCCCACAAAACCCCTCCCCACACCCTCGAATCAACTGGGACATGTGTTTCGTGGATGGGGGGAAGAGTTTTGTGGGCTTTTGGAGCCGCGAAGGAGGTTTTTAATGGTTGTTTCGAGGAGAGAGGGGGTTGACAGGAAGGGAAGAGGTGGCGGCTAGCCGACAGGAGGGTTGGGGTGGGTTCGCTGGTGGGGTAAAGGGCATTGGAGTAAGTTTTCCGATGTGTTAAAGGGAGATTGGGGCGACTGGGGTTTGGTAATTCGATGGATGGTGGTGGATGGGCTGGTGGGGTTTCTTTTTTTTTTGAAGTTTTTTTTGTTTTTTTTTCTTTTTTGGACCAATCACAATGTGACACATGTCATGTAACTTGTGATAGCAGGTCATTGACGTTTGTTGACCGGTTTGGGATTGAAGAAAGTAAATAGCCTCCAAGATTGATATTATTTCAGAATAATCCAAAGTTGAGATTATTAAAAGAAAATGGAGCAAAGTTGAGATTATTATTTACAAATTTTTAAAAAAAAAAAAAAAAAGTAGAATCACTCCAAGATATACTCAATTCCTATTTGGTACATCCTCCATCCCATAATATTTAAGACGTTGGGGTGGACACGTAGTTTAAGAAAAATATAAGTTGGTCCATTTAAAACATTTGTTTATTATATAAGAAATTCTCTTTTGTATTTTTGTATTGTAAGAAAACAAAAGATGAGGGAGGTGGAGGTAGTGAGGAGAGAGAATATGTACTTCGTAGGATTTAATTGGATTTTGGGGGTTTGTAGTCCCAAAGAGAGTATAAGAAAGTATTTTTTTTTTATTAAGTGGTCCAATTCCACATTTGATAACATGGCAAGTATTTTGGAACGGACGAAAATGGTAACTGTGTTAAGTATTATGGGACGGAGGGAGTAATTAGTTATGGCGTAATAGCTACGGAGTAATTGATATTGCACGTTGTATTAGCTGAGTTGACTAGTTGGTTATATTAATTGGTTTTAGTCGTTTGACTAGCTTGGTTGTAAATAAATAATTGTGTGAAAGTATTTAGTAAATAGTTGATTATTGTTAATTGTTTTAGTTTATTTAATAGCCCATAAAACTAATTGTTCAATAAGCTCATTTAAAAAATCTCTTATAATGAACATTTTATAAAGCACACTAAAAAAACTCTTTTAATAAGATATTTACCAAACACCCAAATTAGCTTTTTTAAATAGTCAAAACTCTCATATGGCACAATAAGCTAAAAGTTATAAAAAAAATCTCTTTACCAAACAAGGCCTTAATGATACACACTTGTCTACCTATAAAAATTTCTTTTACTTTATTACTTTGTTTTAACGCTCACCTATAACACAAAAACCTACAATAAGCAATAAACAACTTTTGAATATATGGAATAAATTGTGTGATAGGTGTGTCGCGTACCTAACAAAAATAACCAAACTAATTCTACTATGTAGTTGAGCAAGTAGGGGTCGAATCCCAAGAGACTAAGGACTATCTCATTAAACAGACTCAAATTAATACTAAGCAAGTAACCAATTAATATAGAGAAATCTAAACTAAAACAAATATTAACTAATAAGCAATGGAAATAATATAGAATTAATCAATAACTAAAAGAAATCTAAGATTATGTATCCCCACAAAGATGAATCAATGCAATAGAACGATCCCTTTCCCTCAATCAAATCAATAAATATTCCGCAGGACGCATGCTCCCTGAAACAATACTAAGAGTTTCTTTCGATGAACTAATAGCTTCCCTAACATGCAATCATACCTATTTTCATGGAATCATACATATTAAAGACATTGAGAACGATATCCTATAAGTCCTAGCAAGAACAATTAGCTATTTTCATGCATAAAAGCTCTTACTTTTAATTAGGGTTCTAAAATCAATTAAGAATAAACTTTCGTTGTAAACCTAATTACCAATAATAATATTTCTAGTTAATCATTGAGAATATAACCAACCCTAACAAAGAGGAATTATAAATTAATTAAATTGGAAATTGGGAATCAAACAACACATCAATCCATATTAGGGTTCAACCTAACCCTAGATTACGAAACTACTCACACATGATAATAGAAATAACAAGACAAATAATTAAAGAAAACATGATAACAATTGAAAATTAAAGAGATTAAGGATGAAAGAGAAATACTTGAAATTCAATTAAGATGAATGCTTCAATGGAATTCTATGTGTTCTCTCACAAAACGTACAACGTAGAATAAAAAAAATTATAATAAAAATTAGATGTTTTAAAATAGGGTTAAAACCACTATTTATACTTTCCTAAAAATAAACATTAAATAAAAAAAATAATTATATCTTTTGCGCACACGTACACGGCCGTGTGCTGATGGGTGCTGGATCGTGTAGCTAGTCTCTACTTGATTCCATATTCCATCATGTATGTGCATGGTCGTGTAGCTAAGGGGTACATGACCGTGTAGGTTGCGTTCATATGGAGATGTCATCACACGACCTTGTAGCACATGGTACACGACCATGTAGCAAACAATCGTACTTGGAAAATATCACATGATCGTGTAGTTAGAGGTACATGGTCATGTAGTATTGTCATCATCTTCACTCCAACATATGACTACTTATGACTTTTAAATCATCTTATGAAGTTCACCAATCCATTTCAAAATGTAATAGCATATTCATCATCACTCCAAATGCTCTATTTCATCCTGAAATCACAACATAACAACCAAACAACCAGAATAGAAGGAATCGAGTCCAACTTGGATAAAACATACAGAAACACGAACTATATGTTGAAATTCTATAGTAAACACATTCCAAATAGCCCAAATTAAAAATAATAGTATAATATCAAATTATCATTGTGACTAATTTACAACATAGTACTACCTCCACTTCTATTTGTTCTTTCTGCTAGCTATTGTCACGAGAGTTAGGCAATTGGAAGATGTAATCCCCCATAATTTTGTAATTATAATAGTTATATTTTTATCATTAATTATATGATTATTTTACGATAATTGTATAATTTTATGAATATTTCAAAAATAATAAATTAGTTTTAAGCTATTTAGCCATTACTAACTATTGACAATAATCATTTTACCTATACAAACTAAGAGCCTAGTCCAAGTTACCTCAAAGCCCAACCTTACACCACATGTTTTTTTAAGCTTTGGTATATATTTGGGCCCAAACAAGTTATCCTAATTATATTTGGATTAGGATACTCTCAAACCCAATTCTTATTAATCATACCCACCTTATTTCCCTCACTCCTTCCTCCTCTCTCACGTACAACACACAAGAGAAAAAAAAAAGAAAAAAAAAACTGCTGCAAACCCCTAGCTGCCGCCCCTGCCGCCGCGCCACCACCTACCGCCACCCCCCTGACCGCCGCGCCGCAGCTGCTCAGCAGTTCGTCTTCCTCTCTTCTCCTTCCTCTTATTTCTCTTCCTTTATTTTCTTGTTATTTTGATTAAAGCTACAATTTTTATTTGATTTCAATTATAAAATTATTGTTATTAGGCTTTAATATTATGTATAAATTACAAAAGATTATAAATTTATGGGTTTTGTATGTCTAAATTATTAAATAAAATTTCAGATTATGTATTTTGTATATTTTAGGGTTTAAAGCATTGATTTTTCATGTTTTAGGGCTTGATAACGTGTTAATCAAACTATCTAATCATACTATGTTTAAATTACATTAAAGTATAATTATTTTAATCATATATAAATTTTCAGATTTATTAAAGTTTTAATTTTTATGAACAAGTAGTGTTAATTTCATGTTTTTATGCTTCTAAACCTATAAAATAATTATTGTGAGTATTTTGTGATTAAAAAAGCTTTGAACTTTAAATTCTAACTTTAAAAATAATTTTCAGATTTCATACCTTTTATTTTGAAGCCTCTAATTGCATTGAATTGATATATTCTTAGGTTTTTAACACATTAACTTGCTATATAATGACTATTTCTAGTAATTATGCTTATGGGGTTATTTTATATACTTAAAACAAATTTTCAGATTTATTTACCCACTTTATAGTTGCTGTAATTTGATATAAAACACTATATTTTCATAATTCTAACATATAAACTTAAAGTTGGGATGTTATATTACTAACTTTGATTT